AAAAAAAAAAAACCAAACCAAACCCCTAAGAAAAAAAATCCCATTGGACTGAGTGAGAACGAGGACGCCTTTGAAATTAGAAACAGAGAGAGGAGAGAGAAGGAGCGCAGGGTTGAAGAAAGATCTGAAGCTGTGGGGAGGAAAACAGTCTCTACCCAAAAATGGAAGGTATATAATTTTTTTTTTCTTCTCCTTAAATTTCTCAAACTAAAACCCTAAATTCCCTTCGTTTCTCTCTCTTTTGACTGTTTTGTTGACTGGGTCTTACTTCCTCGAGAACTTAATTCACTCCTTGATCTCTTCTCTATTTATTGGGTTTCAATTTTGCATTAATTCTACTCTACTATCTGGTTCCCGTTGTACCCATTTCGAGTAGGGTAGGATGGTTTATTTTTGGCAGTCAAGTTGGAATTTTTATTTTTCTTTGAAGAGATTTCATGATCTTGGTTATATTTATTGAAAATCGATGGGATTTAGGAAATGGGTATGGACTCATACTGGGTGTCGGCTTTGTTTCAAATTTCTGGGAGCAAGACGCTTTTTTTGTTGCTTTTTTTTGGGTGGGAGGTGATTGGGGATGCGATCCCACTTCACTCGTAGTTTAATTTCGATTCTTTTGGGGGAATGGTGTTGTTTGTTGAGAAAAAATCTGTTTCTTTTTTTTAATAATTAATGTAAATTTGTATATTGTCATTCATTCTCAAATTAGTGGGAGTCTCCCCGGGCATAGATAGATGTAGGTTTTTATTAAATTGTCAAGTTAAAATGGTTTGAGGGAACAAAAATGGTGCTTTCTGGAAAATGGGTTATTTTTTAAACATATTTCATACGCTTCTCCATGTTTCCCTGCAGCAGGGTGGGGTGGAAGGACAGGAGGTTAGGGGATGTTGATTTTTTCTGTTAGCTGGTGCATTTATATTTCCAGTGAGCATTTTCTTTCTCCTTGGCTGATAGCCTGATACAGAACAAAGAAAAGGATATTATTTCTGGGATTTGACCAAAAGAAGAATGCTATAATGTTCTAAACCAGTACTTCTGTGTTATCAAAACAAAAATAATAAACTAGTTCTCCTGTAAGAAAGAATGGGAAATAATATCTTTCTGTGGAATTGGAGGTTGGGCAAGGAGGGTTTTGGCCTGAAATAAACAACTTGGTAAATTTTTAATGGATACAAACAGTAGAAAACATCTTGCATCTATGGAATTCTTTTTGCTAGCCTGCCCAACTTTATGTTTACATGTATTAGTTGATTTACTTGTTTCTGGTATATATGTTGCTTCTATATGATGTTGTTTACCTGACTTTAGTTTAGGAATTAATTTCCCTTAACAACTTTGTGCTTTAGTTATTGATTTTGACTATTTATAACATATAGCTTCAACATGAAAAACTTACACAGTTTTTTTTTT